TAACAGGAACTTACCTCAACATTGTAAAAGCTATATATGCTAAGCCTCAGGCTAGCATCATTCTAAATGGAGAAAAACTGAAGGCATTCCCTCTAAAATCTGGAACAAGACAGGGATGCCCTCTCTCACCACTTCTATTCAATTTAGTTCTCGAAATACTAGCCAGAGCAATTAGACAGACAAAAGAAATTAAAGGCATAAAAACAGAAAAAGAAGAACTTAAATTATCACTATATGCGGATGATATGATTCTATATCTAACAGACCCAAAAGGGTCTACAAAGAAACTACTAGAGCTAATAAATAAATTCAGCAAAGTGTCAGGATACAAAATCAACATGCATAAATCAAAGGCATTCCTGTATATCAGTGACAAATCCTCTGAAATGGAAATGAGGACAACCACCCCATTCACAATATCCTCAAAAAAAAAAAAAAACTTGGGAATCAACCTAACAAAAGAGGTGAAATATTTATACAATGAAAACTACAGAACCCTAAAGAGAGAAATAGAAGAAAATCTTAGAAGATGGAAAAATATACCCTGTTCATGGATAGGCAGAACTAACATCATCAAAATGGAGATATTACCCAAAGTTCTCTATAGGTTTAATGCAATGCCAATCAAAATCCCAATGGCATTTCTTGTAGAAATAGATAAAGCAATCATGAAATTCATATGGAAAAATAAAAGACCCAGAATAGTAAATGCAATTCTAAGCAGCAAGTGTGAATCAGGCGGTATAGCGATTCCAGATTTCAAACTATACTACAGAGCAATAGTAACAAAAACAGCATGGTACTGGTACCAAAACAGGCAGGTGGACCAATGGTACAGAATAGAGGACACAGAGACCAATCCACAAAATTACGACTTTCTTATATTTGATAAAGGGGCTAAAAGCATGCAATGGAGGAAGGATAGCATCTTCAACAAATGGTGCTGGGAAAACTGGAAATCCATATGCAACAAAATGAAACTGAATCCCTTTCTCTCGCCATGCACAAAAGTTAACTCAAAATGGATCAAAGAGCTTGATATCAAATCAGAGACTCTGTGTCTGATAGAAGAAAAAGTTGACTCCGATCTACATAGTGTGGGGTCGGGCTCCAAATTCCTTAATAGGACACCCATAGCACAAGAGTTAATAACTAGAATCAACAAATGGGACTTACTCAAACTAAAAAGTTTTTTCTCAGCAAAAGATACAATAAGAGAGGTAAATAGGGAGCCTACATCCTGGGAACAAATTTTTACTCCTCACACTTCAGATAGAGCCCTAATATCCAGAGTATACAAAGAACTCAAAAAATTAGACAATAAGATAACAAACAACCCAATCAACAAATGGGCCAAGGACCTGAACAGACACTTCTCAGAGGAGGACATACAAACAATCAACAAGTACATGAAAAAATGCCCACCATCTCTAGCAGTCAGAGAAATGCAAATCAAAACCACCCTAAGATACCATCTCACTCCAGTAAGATTGGCAGCCATTATGAAGTCAAACAACAACAAGTGCTGGCGAGGATGTGGGGAAAAGGGTATACTTGTACATTGCTGGTGGGACTGCAAATTGGTGTAGCCAATTTGGAAAGCAGTATGGAGATTCCTGGGAAAGCTGGGAATGGAATCACCATTTGACCCAGCTATTGCCCTTCTCGGACTACTCCCTGATGACCTTAAAAGAGCGTACTACAGGGATACTGCCACATTGATGTTCATAGCAGCACAATTCACAATAGATAGACTGTGGAACCAACCTAGATGTCCTTCAATAGACGAATGGATATAAAAATGTGGCATTTATACACAATGGAGTATTATGCAGCACTAAAAAATGACAAAATCATGGCATTTGCAGGGAAATGGATGGCATTAGAGCAGATTATGCTAAGTGAAGCTAGCCAATCCCTAAAAAACAAATGCCAAATGTCTTCTTTGATATAAGGAGAGCAACTAAGAACAGAGCAGGGAGGAAGAGCATGAGGAAAAGATTAACATTAAACAGGGACGAGAGGTGGGAGGGAAAGGGAGAGAGAAGGGAAATTGCATGGAAATGGAAGGAGACCCTCATTGTTATACAAAATTACATATAAGAGGATGTGAGGGGGAAGGGAACAATAAGGGAGAGAATTGGATTACAGCAGATGGGGTAGGGAGAGAACATGGGAGGGGAGAGGAGGGGGGATAGTAGAGGATAGGAAAGGTAGCAGAATACAATAGTCACTAGTATGGCAATATGTAAAAACGTGGATGTGTAACGGATGTGATTTTGCAATGTGTATACGGGGTAAAAATGGGAGTTCATAACCCACTTGAATCAAATGTATGAAATATGATATGTCAAGAGCTTTGTAATGTTTTAAACAACCAATAAAAAAAAGAAAAAAAAACCAAATAAATATGTACCAAAGAAAAGAACCCAGAATTTTATTAACAAAGTAGTCGTAGGATATAATGGGACAACACATTTCCATACAATACTAGTGGTACCTTAATATCCCATCTCACTAATCGATTTGGAATGCAGAGAAAATATCAACAGGCATATATCATAAATTCACTAATATTATAGATCAAGTGGACTTAACAGATATCTACAGAATATTCCATCCAACATCTTTAGAATACACATCTGGGTAAGCAGGATAGGTAAGTAAGAGTAGAGAGTCTGTGGTTCAACCAAGAATGTGTCTAAAATTTATTAATGGAACAGAAATAGCAAACCTATAAAGCACAATAAGAACAACCAATAAGGCAGAGTGAGCATTTGAGGAAAAAATAAGGTAGACAGCTAAGAAAAGGCAAGGTAGACAGTTACAGAAAAGGCAAGAGAACATGTGAGAGAAGCACACTAGAATACGGGGCCATTGTGGATGGTCCATCAGAGGTTGGATCACAAATTTAAAGAGACTAGCAGGATAATTTCACATTATAACAAGACACAGCACTTGTCCATGATTCAGGAGTCTTTGCCTAGTCTAGTGCAAGCAGGGAAGAGTTAAGTAGATGACACAACCATTCTTGTCATTACACAGGTAATGAAGAGACAAGGGAGTTGAGTGTACTTGAAGGGGGAGGATTTTAATGGGGCATTATGTTGTCTAATCAGGGTAAGAAGAACATGTGCAATCATGAAGAGAGTGTAAAACTGGGAAACTGATAAGGGAGAACATTTGAAATCTGCATGAGGATGAAATATCTGGAAAAGGAGCATCAAACATATGTGCTATAAGGAGAAGAGGAAACAGAGAAGGAATAATGCAATCAAGATATCAAGCTGGACAGGTAGTGATGGTCAATAGTGTGGCTATACATGGACATGGGGTGGGAGGGAGCAGAGTGCTTCAAAGGGAGAAAATCAGGACTGGAGAGGCCCAGGATGTTATCTCAGTTGTGTTCAAGGATGCTGGCAGCACCAGGAACAGGAGACAGAGGAGCCTGGTGAGGCTAGTACTGCAGCCTACTGGGACAAGGGGGAGTGACCAGGCTGGAGGGTGACACCAACAGAAGTGGTAGCTGGTGCCATCTCGTGGGGGCAAATTTCAAGTAATTGAACACAGAGAAAAAGAAAAAAATGTTGAAAATGACAAGTGAGAGCAAGAATATTTTTATTCTAAGATTTGGCTCAAAAAATATCCTGATGAAAGGGAAGCACAGAGCCTCCTAATGATAAGGACATCATTGTTTTCAGAGGACAGCCAGGTTTTTGTGAGAACATGAAACTGAAGGGGACATTACAGGTCTTAAGAAATTGGAAGATGATGGTCTCCAATTTCCAACAGGCCCCATGGAATGTTTTCTGGGAGAGGGATGAAGTGGGCATATGTTTGTGGTAGCATATGGATAAAGGCTCAGAGGAGGTAGTATCAGCCAAGACCACTGGGACTGTGAGGAGATGAATTCAAGAACACAATAAGGGGAGACCAGGCCCCTTATCTCCCAGCCATTCCCCATGATGTGGCAGAGGAGAAGATTAACAAACAGATTTTCAACAAGATTGTTATTGGGGCCATGCCTTGGAGAGGACTTGAGCTCATCATACCCATCCAGGTTATCAGGCATTGTGCTGTGCTTATCATGGGATTTTATCCATACCTCAAGGTCACCATAGTCCTCCCACCTCAGTATTTACACTGATAAATACTCTACTTTCTTCCTGCATTGGACTTCAATTCCTCCTTTAGGTCTCAACTTAAAATGATTTCTCTCTTCCCCAAAGCACGCATTTCCACAGCACCTTCCATTTCTTCATGACACTCAAATTTATGCATGGTGCATGTCATCAGGCTGAAGTGCAAACTCCATGAGGATGGGGCAGGGTTTTCTTCCAGCATCTGTCCTCCTGTCTGGAATTAAGTTTCTACCTACAAGTCACTTGATTACTTTTCATCAATAAAGTGACCCGAGAGGTGGTCTGTCTGATGAAGATGGATTTCAGAGTAAACAGCCCAATAGTATTTGATTCCCCAAATTGCTCTCCCATTCACTTGAAAGTGTAAGGGAGATGAAATGTTTCCTCCTAAGCTCAGTTGCCTCTTATGAAATAAGCAATTACTATAATACCTATCATCAGTTGATTGTGACAATTAAGGCACATTACCTGTGATACAGTTTGGTGGGGGAAAAAGTGATAGCACATAGTAAGCAATGTATATAACTGAGGTCCAATCATTCACCCTGTTACTAAGGAAAAACAGGTTAATTAATATAAAGACCGTTTTAGCTAACTGCTTAGAAAGTTTATCAGAGTATAAGTTTATACTTCCATATGTTAAGTTCAGTCTGTCTGTAGTTTTCACATAAATTTCTATCACATGTTTCCTTATATCTGTCTTTGAAACAGGACTGGAAGAGGTGGATCAAGAAACCTCTATCCAGAATTCATTTTGCAGACTTGTTTCAACTCATCCATTATATTTGAAAATATGAACCTTTCCTGACAACAACCTACAAGCAGAGGACAGATACATAGAAATAGACAGTAGGTCACCTGTACATGTGATATGAGCTTCCTCCTTTGCAGAGCAAGATTGGTGTTTCCAGGGGTCAGAAGGACACTGCCAGAGAGAGATATCAGTTTCCCGACAGCGGATTCCATCCACCCAGGAAGGTCTAGAACCTTTCCTGAGAGGAACCAAGAAGTTCAGAGTCCCACTGTCCCCACAGCCAAGCTGTCTGCAGATCACGGACAAGGTCACAGCTTCCATGGGGCTGTGGCAGACACTGCCCCAGGTGTTGTTGTAGAAAACCTCCAGCCACCCAGTACACTCCTGGTCCTCGCTCACCAGCCTGAGGGCCAGGAACTCTGAAAGCAAGAGGAGGAAAACAGGGGTCAGTGAGCATTCAACTCTTTTTTTTATTGGTTGTTCAAAACATTACAAAGCTCTTGACATATCATATTTCATACATTTGATTCAAGTGGGTTATGAACTCCCATTTTTACCCCATATACAGATTGCAGAATCACATCGGTTACACATCCATGTTTTTACATATTGCCATACTAGTGACTGTTGTATTCTGCTATCTTTCCTATCCTCTACTATCCCCCCTCCCTCCCCTCCCATCTTCTCTCTCTACCCCATGTACTGTAATTCATTTCTCCCCCTTGTTTTTTTCCCTTTCTCCTCGCATCCTCTTATATGTAATTTTGTATAACAATGAGGGTCTCCTTCCATTTCCATGCAATTTCCCTTCTCTCTCCCTTTCCCTCCCACCTCTCGTCCCTGTTTAATGTTAATCTTTTTCTCCTGTTCTTCCTCCCTGCTCTGTTCTTAGTTGCTCTCCTTATATCAAAGAAGACATTTGGCATTTGTTTTTTAGGGATTGGCTAGCTTCACTTAGCATCATCTGCTCTAAAGAGCATTCAACTCTTACTGCTGTTTTTTCTTTATTCCTAAGTAGTGAGAACTCATTGCTTACTATCCTGAGGTAGTACCTACTAGGTGGAAGATTGGAAGATTTTTTTTTTATCCCTTTAATCTGTTTTGCTAACTTGTACCTCTCTTTCTGTTTCTACAACAATGTAATATTAGCAAATGAACAGGTAGGAACACTGACTGGGAGCTGAGCAGGAAAAAATCTTTACTCCCTGACTAACCATCTGACAGATCATAGAAAAGGAGGGTGGACAGAGGGATGGTAGAAAAGTGGAGCTTCAAATATGTCCACTCTGTGATCCTGCAAGCCTGTGAATATTTTAACTCATATTGCAAAAGGGCTTTTCAGACAACATTAAGAAAAGGATCCTTTCTCTAGGGAAGATGGGACATGCCTGTAATCCTAGTGACTTGGGAGGCTGAAGCAGGTGCAACTCATGTTCAAAGCCAGCCCCAGAAACTCAGTGAGGCTCTAAGTAACTTAACATGGACTTGTCTCAAAAATGAAAAATTATAATAAAAAAGGGGCTATGGCTGTAGCTCAGTGGTTGAGCCCCCTGGGTTTAATCCCAGTACCAAAATAAAAAACAAAAACAAAAACAAACAAAAGGTGCTTTCATCATGAGATTATACTGGATCATCCTGGATAGGACGACTGCCCCCAATAGGTGTGCCCAATCTAATGACATCCTTACACCTATATCCTCAAAAACAGATAAGTCTTTCTGGCTCACATCAGAGGGAGATGTATTCATAGAATGGTTAGAAGGTTGAGATGCTTTGTGTTTGAAGAAGGATGGGGTCACTTGAGAAATTCAGGCTACTTCTAGAACCTGAAAAAGGCAAGAAAAGGAGTCTTCCCAGAGTTTCAGCTGTTGCAGCTGCTGACAGCTTGTTTTTAGCTCAGAGAGATCCAGGTCAAAATTCTAACTTACACATTGTAAGATGATAAATTTGTGCTGTTTTGAGTCACTTGTCTATGGTGACTTGTTACAGCAGGAATAGAAAACTAATTCAGTGGGTCAGGATGTTGCTCCCACATGTCACAGAAGAGTGATGACTGCTTTAAATGGACATTGTAGAGAATGACTGTGTCAGGGGACAATGCTGAGAAGGAAGGAGCAGAAGCTCAGTTGCTGCAGCAGTAAATGGAAGCACCTCATCTTCTCTGCTGGAAGAACAGGAACTGTCCTTTCCTCTGTTCTGTCCTCACCCCTGTCCTAGGGCTCAGACATCATCCTGTAGACCCTTTTCTGCCCACCCCCACCTGTGCATAGTGTGCACCACAGACCTGAGCAGATGACCCCAGCATCATCCTTGTGACTGCAGTTGTGCTGCCCCCAGCCCTGGGAAGGGCACTGCCACACGTGGGTCTCCTCTCCTGTGCAGTTCAACTTGTCCAGCCAGATAGGCCCTGATCCCTCTCCAAAGTGAGCAGAGATGGTGGCCTCCAGGGCCACTCCACAGCCCAGCTGTCTGCACACCACGTGGGCATCTCTCAGGTCCCAGCTGTCATCACAGATGGAGCCCCAGGAGCCCTGCAGCAGGATCTCCACTCTCCCTGCACAGTGACTGCCCCCGTCCACCAGGCGGAGCTGTCTGCTGTCTGAGGAGAAACAGGGTCATGTCAGTGGGCATTCACACAGGGAATGGGAAGGCTCTGGTGCTGGAGGTCTTGCTCACCTGAGCAGTTGGCAGTGTGGCGCTCTGAGGCTGCAGAGCCTGCTGTGTTAGACCAGGAGTCATTGCACTGGGGCAGTAGCTGGGCCTGGTTTCCTACAGAAAGGGTTAGAGAGCAGGAAACTGAGTTAAACTAGACAATAATCTTATGATGGCATCTAAAGGTTGTAGCCCATGACCACTAATTTCCTATTTTCAGAGCTGCTGAGAGCCACAGCCGAGTTGGAATGGCCCCTGGCATTTTGCCAATAGTATTGGTTGACAGGCAAGGCATTACTATCCGCCTCTGCCACTACTTTGGAGTTCTCCTGGGGATTCGCGGAGAGTTCCCATTGGTTGGGGAAGTGCAGGAGGAGGGATTTCTGGAGGAGATATTTCCGGTGGTTGGTTCCTGGACAAGAGGCATGGCATTCATGGCATTCGGGAGAATTCCCTGGGAGCGTGTGTGAAGTGTTTTGGTGGAGTTCAAAAATAAAGTTTGTTCCTGCTTCAGTGGCTCCTGATTTGTGCCCAGCCAGACTGCGGCACAGAGCCAATTTTCTAATGGTGAATTCTGCTTCTACTTCTAACACTCTTCTATTTTAAGCCAAGTACTAGGAATGACTTTAGGGAAGTGTGACTATGTCATTGATGTTTGAGAGTATTGCATAGCTCCAAGGGAAGCAAGACACTGGAGTCAAGTTTAAATAAAAGTAAAAACTAGAATCAGCTTTTTTCTCCTGGAAGCATTTGACAACTCAAAGGTAGTAGTTGAGTCTGAAAATGTCAGCACCTTTGCCAGATTTCCCTTGGGAGAACCCAAGTAAAATTTAGGTTATACCAAAGAGGAGAATCCTTTTAAACACCCAGAAAACTTATATTTTGTAAACTGAAATAATTTTTGTCATAGGGATGAGTGCCCATTTTTTCATCATTTCAATTCTTTTTGTGTAAGGGATCTACTCTAAATAAAGTTGTAATAAATAAAATAATTAAATGGGTAGTGGATTAAAGAACATAAAATCCTTTCTGAAGGTTTTGTAGGATGAACTTTTTTTCAAATACAATGTCTTTCAATGAAAAAATACCCAACACATATAAAAGAGTTTATGTAGAAAGAAAGTGGACAAAAGAGGTAAAAGAGATTTTCACAGAGTGATATTGGTGTTTCCTTATAGATAATTCAAATAATCATGATTAAATTTTGTAAATTAAATGACATGATGGGAATTTTGGTAGATAAATGATCACAAAAATCCAATAAATAATTGAGAGGCATGAATAAAAAGAACCAATGAAAAAGAGCCAATAAATATCAGTAGGTAAAAATGAGAAATGAGAGGATGAGTCTAACATAATGTAGATTAGCACAAAATAGAAACAGTAAGTGGAAGAACATGGGAAAATATTGAGTGAACAACAGAAAGACAAAAATGTAGGAAATATAACAGGAAACTAAGAGACACAGTGAGAGATACTAACATTCCTATGTACTCTACAAGTTTTAGGCATTAAGGCCCTAACTGATAATTCAAAAGTATAAATTAGAAAATACACAAAGATATTTAACACATCTGTCTTTAAAAAAAATACCCACATTCTGTCACATTCTATCCATTTCTCCTGCTCTCCAATCTGGGCTGACAGGGGTAAGTTGCCTATAAACAACAGAATGTGGTGAAGCTAGCACAATTTGACTTAGGAACCTAGCTTAGAATGTCAGGCCTCTTCCTCTTGACTTAGTAGGATTTTGCTTTATGGGAAATCTACTCTGTGGATTATCCAGTGGGAGAGAGCATTTGACAGCAGCCCCAGGTGAACTTTAAGCTACCAGCCATGTGAATGAACTATCCTGGATTCCCAGCTTGGTCAAGTCTTCAATGACTCAGCTGCAGATGAGATCCAAGTGCAACTTCATGAGAGACCACAAGTGGCAACTGCCAAGAGCCCTTGCCAAATTTGTGAATCTGGAAATCATGGGCAAAATAAAATGAATTCTTTATTGGTGTCACTATTTTTTTTTGCCGGGGGGTGGGTGAGGAATGGATTAAAAAGCAATAGCAACCAGGACAATTACATTTACTGTGAAACAGCAATCCTACATTCCCATGTTTATTATAGCACTATTCACAATAGTTACCATATGGAATCAGGTGCCCATTAAAAGACTAATTCATGAAGTAAATGTGGTATAAATACAATCACAAAGAAAAATGGAGTCCTGCTGTTTGCATCAAATGGTAGGAATTGTAGGACATCATGTTAAGTTCAATAACCCAGACACAGAAAGACAAGTACCACATGTTATCCATCATATGTGGAAGCCAACAAGGTTAATTTATGGGATATGGCAATGACACTGTGGTTGTGTGAAAAATTCTTGAAAATATTTGAAGAGTAAAGGGACACATCATCTTATCCACCTACTCTTAAACTATTCACTCAGAAATATTTTATATATTCAGGGATAAATATGATGGAAGAAAGGATAATATAGAAAAATAATGGCATTGGGGAATCTTGGTTCAGGTTACCTGGGAATTTCATACTTTCCTAAGCTTATTCAGAATTCTCAAATTATAAAAAAGAAAGAAAAGAAAGAAAGAAGGAAGAAAAACCAAGCCACAAAAAATGAATCTGAAAACTAGTAATTATGGTTTGGTACTGGGTGTTCCCCAAAAGCTCATATGTGAGACATGAAAGTTTCAAAGTAAAATGATTGGGTTATGATAGCCTTAACCTAATCAGCACATTAATCCTCTGATAGTATTAACTGGGTGATGATTGTGGCAGGGAGGGTGTGGCTCGATGAGGTAGGTGCTTGGGGGCCTGTCTTTGGGTTTATATATTGTCCTTGTTGAGCAGAGTTCTCCCTATTTCTGCTTCTTGGTGGCCATCTCCTGATCTGCTTTCTCCTTCTACACTCTTCCACCATGATATTCTGTTTTACCTTTAGTCCCAAGGTATGAAGCAGACTATCTATGGACTGAGACCTCTGAATTCCTGAGCTTCAAAATAAACTTTTTCTCCAAAAATTGTTCTTCTCAGGCCTTTTTGTCACAGCAGCTGAAAAGCTGACTAAAACATTAGTAGAATTAATTCCTAGGATATTTCACTAAAAGAAACACTAAATCATCATAAACATAAAACACCAAGAATACACCTAGTAAAAGTTATGTATAATCTCTGAGAGAAACTAGAGATATACATTATAAGTTAATTAGCTCCATATTGATATTTGGGTCAAATCAAAACTCAGTCTAAAGACCATGATGTTTTTATTGTATTAAATATATCAAGTCATTTATAAAATTTATGTGAAATGCATAATACCGAGTATGACCAATGCATTGGGCAGGAAAAACAACACAATTAGAACAGTTACTCTAAAGTACTCTTTAAAAAATGTTAATTAGACATGCTGTAAAGTTATAATAATTAAGGAGGCATTCATGGCTACAAGCATAGAAAATGACAGAATGGAACAAAACAGAGTATAGAGCAAGAGTCAGAAATAGCTGCAGCCTGTGTATTTCAATGGTGGCACCACAGTGGGGAAAGGGCTTTTCAGTAATGATTCTGAGTCAATTGGATGTCCAAACAATAATGGGAAACTATCTTCACACCACACACCCTGTGTACAATACCAACCCCAGAAACATTGTGCAATTATATGTAAAAGAAAAGTAATTAGACGTGATAAGACACCTGGAGAATATTTTTATGATCTATGGTAGTAAAGTTCTATTTAAAAAGACATTAGAACACTAAGTGTACAGGAAATATTGATATTCTGTGCTTCATTAAGAACAAAAATTTGACTCTTGAATGAAGACCATATTAAGAGAGGCAAAATAAATGGACAAGTATTAAAAACCATATACAAATATATCCATATTTGCACTAAAAGTTATTGACATGGTAACTTGTAGGATTATTATTTGAGTATTCAAAAAGTGCAAACAACTCCAACATCCACATCATTTGAATGGCTCAACACATGATCCTGTGGTTATTTGGCAGAAAACTCTACAGCAATAAAAATAAATGAAGCTTGACTAAAAATAAAGACATGGGTGAATTCTAAACATTATGTTGAGTCATAGTAGACATGAAAAAAGAAAATACTGCATGATTCTACATAAAGCTCAAGATGTGCAAAAATATTTTGCAGAAGTTAGAGTGATCTTCCTTGGAAGGGAGGAGGGCATAGTGACTGGAGAGATGTGCAGGTTACTCCTGGGAGCTGCTGATACTCTCTGATGGCCCAGGTGAGGAACACGACAGAGCTGTCATTCATTGTTATACATTGTTGTCCATGAATTTGAAAAATAAAAAGGCTTACTTAAAAATATTGCTCTTAATACCACTTGACAGGGCCTGAAAGATGAATGATCATTGAGAAGAATCCTATTTTACCACAGAATGTTTCATTTTTGAAGTCATCTCTCCACACTGTCTGCTCTTAGAGACACATCACTCTAGTACCAGTCAGCCCTGACCTCTCTTACCTGAGCAGACCACAGAGGCTGTGTTTCCATGGGCACAGGCAGGAACACCCAGGGCAGTCACAGGGCAATTCCACAGGAAGGACTCAGACCCTGAGCAGTGAAATCGGTCTCTCCAGATCTCATCTCCTCCTTCCACAAAGTATGCTCCCTTTGGGGTGGAGATGGCAACTCCACAGCCCAAATGACGGCAAACAACATTGGCATTGGCCATATTCCAGTGGGAGGCACAGAGTGTTCTCCAGCCTCCAGAGGTCTTCATCTCCACTTGACCCTCACACTGAGAGCTGCCATTTTTCATGAGCCGAATATCTGTATATCCTGGTAGAAGACAGGATTTTAGCATAATCCCACATTTTTCTTACCCCCACCACAGAGTGCATAGGGAGGTTAACATCCTGTTGTGAGTCTCACCTGAGCAGACAACTTGCACAGCCCCTCTCTGGGGACAACTTCCTCCAGGACAAGGCACTCTGGGACAGAACCAGAGGCCAGGCTCCTGTCCTTCACATTGGAACTCTTCAGCCCAGACCTGTTCACTGTCCTCTCTGAAGGGCAGGTTTCCCAGGACAGATGCAGCCTTGCCACACCCCAGCTCTGCACATATGACCTGGGCTGTGGATAATGTGAAATTTCCATCAGATACTGGAATCCACTCTCCTCCAGAATTCACTTCCACTCGCCCAGAGCAGGGTCCATGTCCTCCAACCAGATGCACAAATCCTATGGTAGTAAAATCAAACAACAACAAGTGTCAGGGAATAGAATTACAAAGCTAAAAGTCACAGGTAATGCTGGGAAATCTTTTCATTTTCCAGGGTTCTGGCATGGAGAAAGGATTCAACAGATGGTGCCAGAATGTGAATTCTCAATGCAGTTGTATGAAGATAAATTTTGGAGAAGGAATTTGTAAGGTCTGTTCTAAATTGATGATTCAAGAAAGGAATGTAAACACTTCCTCACACACATACATATACATACATGTATATGTGTGTGTCCAAGAAATGAATATATATATATTTTTGTGTAATATATGTAGTTTTTATATGGGCAAATTATTGTTCATATTATAAAGGTATCTGTGTTTTTGTATAACTTTCTTTGTCAGTCTATCTCCTTTTTTTATAGTATCCATAACTATCCAGTGAATATGATCTCAGTGTAGAAAAAAGCTAGTATTAATTTTTCACTATTTTATGTCCTCAAACTCTCAATTCACAGATACTAATTCCAAATAAGATAACATTTGTTAATGAATCAAAAAATTCAGTATGTATAAAAACTGATAATTTACACTTATTTTCCACTTGGGATCAGAAAAGAGCCTACTAAACAGTGTGAAGCTGAGATAGAAACCAAGTTATTGTGACTAAAATAATCAGACTTCTTTACATTATTTTTCCCATTACAGAAGACAGAAAGATAATTTAAAAGAATGAACAGAAGTTATCCAGAGTTTTGAGCTTGAGCACATTATTTATTTTATTTTATTTTTTTTGTTTTGTGTTGTTTTTTAGGGATTTTTTTCTAATAAACAGAGTTTGAAAAATCCATTATACATCTATTGAAGCTGATAAGGAAGTAATTTCAAGTATGGTTTCAGACATTTGGGGAAGTATTTGGTTACAGTATTTGGTAAAATTGTAATATAATAGTAATTTTATGTAGTAAAGAAGTTCAGCAAGACATACTTTCTCAAGAGAATAGCATATTCATTATCTTTTCCCCCCAAGTAAACTATCAAAGTACAATGAACATCAAAAGCATTAATCTAACTTATTAAAATTGTTATTTAAAACATTAAAATTGGAATACTCCCTTTTTTCTCTGAACCTGATGTATTAATATAAAGTGTGGATTCCTGAAGTATTACTACAATGGTAATTTTAATTTATATCATTATTATAGAGCAGTAATGACAATGTACCTTATAGCATCAAAATGCAGATACACAAATTCCAAACTGAAATCACTAATCTTTAGGAGGTTATGTTTTAAAGAGTGTGAGACCTGCAGGTACATCATAAAATCAGCCATCAATATGGTTGTCCAGTGACAGAAACAACAAAGATCAGCCTCCAGAACAGAAACCTGGCTGGCTGAAGGCTCTTCCTGTGGATGCACCAGGTCTCCTTCTCTGTGAACTCTGGTTTCCACTCAGTTCCACCTTCACATTAAAGCTCAACACAAGTACCACCAGAGAGGGCCACCAGGTTTGAATGACTAATTACAGATTCATCTTAGAGAGAAACACACACTTGCCTGCAGTGTCACTATTTCTTTTTCTTTTTTTTCATTGTATTTGACACATTTCTAGCATCCAAGAGTTAGACTGCCTCAGTTGAGTTAGAATAACATTACATCCAAGTTCTATCTGAGAGAATACAAGGGATATCTGAATACAGTGTCCTCCAATTTAAATGTTATGAGGGTACCTTTGTCTTAGGCACTGAGTTCTATTGCAATATCAAACATTTGCAGAAACTTTTGTATAATTCCCATTAATAAAAATTGGAAGCACTTCACATAAAGAAATAGATCACCCAATGCAGGTTTCACCTTCGCTCTTCTAGTCTCACAGTTCCGATAAACTAATCCAGCTATAGCCTGAGAGGGTGAAGAGGAAATTTCATACAACACATGTATTCAGATGATCAACTGAGCACCTGTCATTGTACTGAACAGATCCTGAGGAGTTCAGAGGGCAGTATTATTGCAAATTCAACAATACATTTATTACTTTAAATCTTTAAGGTTTGACATCTACATTTTGAACACGAGAACAAATTCTGCATTTTGTGTTATAAATCAGAAGGGATAGAGACATACTCATACTTCAGTCCCAAAGGAGAATGCATCAAAGCCCACAACAACCAATTAAGGAAAATGGTCCTGCTCTGTGGCCTAAGGAATTTGGAGGATTGGCATTAAAAAGAACTGAATGTGCAGAGTATGTTTGGTACATGGCAGCAAATAGACTCTTTTCGTGGCTTCTCTAATAGGGAAAGACAGATAAGCAGTTCACAGGCAATGTCTGGGTGTTGGTTGCTTCCTGTATAAATAAATAAGGTACTGTGATATTTATCGTAAATTCATTCTCAATCTCAATTTCCCTTCCTAAATCTGTCTATCTGAATTCTCCAGTACCCTAAATACCTCAACATAATGGCCTTTTTCATGGCTAAGTTTAAAGCTCCATATTGATAAATGCTGTTGACAGTGTTAACAAAGTGTTAAAAAGTTACTAAAAATGATATACTATTGAAGATACTCATGTGCTTATGTCCTTATGTCTTGACAGAGAAGAAAGAACCTGGGGAGAGTAAGTGACTTGTTAGAGGTTAGAGATATGGAGTCATCCAGATCTTTCCACTGGGACCTCATTTATGCCTCTCAAGGATAGCTCCTCTTGATTCAGCTCCCTCCCTTTTTGAATCCCCTCCCCATGTCCTCAAGAGCCCCTGCTGTTGAGGATATAGTGTGTGCCTTTATCCTTAGTGCCTCATCTCTACTCTTATTTCACAGAGGTGAACTTCACTTTACAAACTGAGTTTGTTTGCAAAAACCACTTCAGTCAAGTCCTAGGAGGGTTTGTAGAAACCTGGTCTTCAGGAAACTATTCTTTCTGTACCTGTGCCAGGTCCCGAGAAACCCCCAATTCTCCACATTCCAGCTTTTACAAAACTAGGGCTCTTTCATCTTGTGGAACTGGCCTCTCTCACTTCCCATCATTATTAGAACTTTTGGGCTGGGTACATGGAGAATGGTCACTGGAGGCCCAGAAATGGGAAAAAATGCCTGTGATTAGGAAAGGATAAAATGGGGCAGATGGAAATTTTCCACCCTAGCCTGATATAGGAGAGAAGAAGTAGAAGAGAATATTCAGAGTCTGCTTCCTTGTTTTCTAATTCAAAATACTAATGTCTTTTCAGAATCTGCCATGTTCCAGAAATGTTATTAGGTGCTGGGTATATGTATTTCAAGGAAATAATGCAGACAAAAACAAACAATTTCAAGCCATTTGAAGTTTATGAGAGGTCTGGCTAGATAAAGAAAGAAAAATTGCATCTGCAGAGGTCCACTGATTCATAGGACTCATTCTCACTAGAGTAAATAAATTCAAACTTGCAGTCAGATATATCCTTGTCTGATTCTTTGCTTCAAGGACACATTGCTTCCTTGGGCAAGTTTCAAGTTTCTAACCTCAATATCTCAACATTGAGTCAATCTTACAAATTATTCCTCTTTTACACAGCAAGGGTATACAGAATTCACACAGATATACACAGAGTCAATATCATACACCACTATCTTTTGTGCTATTCAGATAATCCTTATGTGCTCTTTGTCAACCCTCCAATGCCATCTCCCAGGCACTGGAAACTCATCTATCTTCCTCAAAAAGTTGTTTTTTGTTCAGTTGTCCTTATTATTATCAATTTTACCTCTCAATGCACTTCTCTTGTATTACTGAATCCATCATATATAAACTATATAACCTTCCCCCATATCTTTTCACCTGTATCATTTTCCTTCTCTTTTCATTTAAATTAAATTTATCTCAATTTGATACTCAAAACATAAATATTATACCTATTAATGGAGTAAATAGATTTCTTGATGTATGTGCACATTGTGTTATCTTTTCATTTCCTTCTGTGACAATTTCCAATGTTATCTTTTGGCTTTTTGAAATAAAGCTTATTACTGTTATCTATAGTCTTCCTACTGTGCAATAGTGCACCAGAACTTCTTGTTCCTATCTAAGTAAAGGCTATTACTAATTGATCAATCGAAAGCTTTCCATTTCTAACCCCTACGCGTTCCAGCTTATGGTAATCACAATTCTAGTCTAATGTTCTGAACTTTTATGAGGTCAACTCTTTCAGATTCAATGTATAGTGAGATTAGAAGACCCTTGTCCTTCTTTGCCTAATTTCATTTAACCTAATGATCTTCAGGCCATGCATGCTGCAGTAAATGAAAATATTTTATTCCTTTTTATTTTTTACTTTTTTTGGATGAACAGTATTCCATTATGTAAATGTACTTCATTGTATCCATGTATTAGTTGATGGAAACTTACATTGTTTCCCTTTCCTAGCTACTGTTAGTAGCACTGCCATAAACATGGGAGTACAGATGTCTTTTCAACATCCTGATTTCATTTCCTTTGGATATATGCTCAGCAGTGAATTGCTGCATTATGTTAACTTTATGTGGAGCTGTCTGAAAATGTCTTTGTATTTTTCTGTAAAGGACAGTTTTGCCATGTTCTGTATTTTTGATTGGCAGATTTATTCTTCGGTTCTATGAAAATTTCATGACACTCACTTCAGGTCTACATGTTTCCTGTTGAGAAGTTCACTGTCAAGTAAGTTAGGACACCCTTATGTGTTGTTTATTTCTTTTGATTGCTTGAGACTCTTTATCCTTCATCTTTGAGAGCTTATTATAATATGTAAAGATCCCAAGTCTCCAGGTCAAATCTGGGTGCCCAACTAAATTTCACCCCCAAACACACTTTCCATAGTGTGCTGCTTGGGGCTTTGGGAAGCAATGAGGAGGGTGGTCCTGTGGCCACCAACACTGCAATGCTGTCACACACTGAGACCACAGCCTGCCAAGGCAACACAGAACTGGGGAGGGACCAAGGCCCTTAATGCTATGAGCTGCCTACTGATGGACCAAGACTCTTGCAACCAACCACGGGTTCTTCTTGAGTCTGTCCCATCAGCACACAGCTCTTGCTCTATGAGTTCTGTGACAACTTTGAGGTCTCTAATTCCTACTGAGTGCTGAGTATCACCATGGTGGACCTGGCATTGTGATCTAAGACAAAATCCTATTTCTGTTTTTGCATCTTGCTTCTTAGCAAGTGGAGACTTGATTTTTTATTGTTGTTAAGATAGGTTGGAGGAGCATTGGTGGAGACAGTCTCTCTGCTGTCTAATTAAACACAGTTCCAGAGTCTCAGTCTGAGTTTATTGGCATAGGGGATGAGGCGTGTTGTGCTCTACGGGGTATCTTCCTAGTACTGAGTTACACATCTAAGGCCTGGACTTAATTACCTTTCCATTCCCAAAGAAGGAGGCATTGTCCTTCACGTTGGGACACTTACATTGTTTTCCTTGAATTATGGGAAAGGGCAACATTTCCTCTTTCCTTTATTGTGTCTTTTTTTAAATTATCATAAAAGCAGGCATTCACTTGTTTCTTTTCTTTTCATACACCTGGTTTATTTTCTCCTATCAAGCCATTTGTTCTGTGAAAAGTTTTATGTGGTGTATTTGTGGGAGATCACTTAATAACCATCTTGATCTAAGTCCTAAACTACATAATATCTTACCAGAAAAAAACATGCATTAATATTTTACTGCTTTCAACATTGATCTGGGAGCACAGTGTTAAATTCACCTCCCAATATGAGTTTGTACAGAAATTGCTTGAAACAGAAATGTAGAGACAATCTACTGTAGTACTGATAGAAGGAAAAATTGTGACTCCCAACATTTCACTCACAGTTCTCTGGCCCTTCCTACCAATGAACTAAGAATTCTGATGTTTGAATCTGGAAAGGAGAATTGCAACTTTCCAGTAGCATATAAATTCCCTTGTGATGTGTTTAATCCCTGTGCCCATATACCTACTAAGCCAATGCAAAAATATCTCTGACTCTACGTTACAAACAGTTCAACTGAGGAAAGTAGGGCCTCATGATCATCTGTCCTTTGACAATTTCTGCAAACAGAGTCTGTGTGCTAACCTGTGTGCTAATCCTAAAAATAGTAAATTAGAGGAATAAAATTATAAAGATTGATTATATATTGAAATACTCTACAAAAAATATCTTGTCAAATAAGAGAGTTGAGAAGGGAAAGGACACTATTAGAGATTTACAAGACAGTAATAGATGAAGCCCATCATTCATTGTTATCCCTGAATCTACTGATTGAGGAGGGACCTCTTACTCCTCTCTGGACAATTCATCTTATTCCCCCAGGGATCAGACACTACATCCTGGAACTTTCCTTTCTCTTAGGTAGTGGAGAATGCATTGACAATACCTGAGCAGATGACGCCTGCATCATCATAGGGCTCACATTTGTTCTTTCCCCAGCCCAGGGAAGGGCAATTCCACAAGTAGGCCTCCTCTCCTGTGCATGCCAGCTGTGTCAGCCAGATGGGCCTTGATCCCTCTTCAACTTGTGCATAGAGCCAGGCATTGAAGGCCTCTCCACAGCCCATTTGTCTGCATACCACTTGAGAATCTTTCAGGTCCCAGCTGTCACCACAGACAGTACCCCAGGAATGCTGGTGAAGGATCTCCACTTTGCCTGCACATCGACTGCCCCCGTCCACCAGGCGGAGCTGTGGGCTCTCTGAGGAGAAAGAATCATGTCAATGATTGTATTTACAAAGAGAATGAGAAATGTTCTCTTATCAAGTGGTACTTTCTCTCCCACCCAAGTAGTTGGCAGAATTACTTTCAGAATGCAGAATGTGCTGTTAAGACATTCATTGTACTATGGTAGCAGCTAAGTCTCAGTTTCTACCATAACATATTGGAGAATTAATTAAAAAAAATAAGAAATGGAATTGATCACAACATAATCAAGTGAGCAGTCTTAGGCAGAAGTTATTATGTAGATATGATCAGAGTAAAACTTGTTATTGGTAGATTTCTGCATATCATGTGAAAAAACAATTGGAGAAATGCCAAGATTCCTACTTTAAGTAGCTCAATGTGTTTTTTTCTGAGTGGTTTCTAAGAGTTACTGTAATGGGCCATTATCTGAATTCATTTCTTATAAGCACATACTCCTCAGTGCCCATGACCTGAGATTTGGAAGGATGAGAGCACAGGGGATGGAGTAGGAAACGGAGATAAGATCATCAGGTGTTTCAGCTGACAGCCATGAATCCAGGAAAAAAATGCAATTTGATAGACATTAAGACTGAAAAATGAATGGATCATAAGACAAATCAGAGTTAATGCAATATATTTTACTAATGAGTCTAGGCTTCATAGTTCAAATATGGATATTTAATTTCAAATTTATGTTTATTATAGGTATATTGGGCAACCTCCCCAAATAGATGATGTCAGATAGTGACATTGCCCAAATGCCACTAGGAATCATAGAATGTTACTTTCCCCCCAAATATATCTAATCTGTGCTTCAACTTCCTGCCAGGAGTTCTTGATGAGGAGGCAAATGGCAGAATAGAAGTACCCTTTTTGTGATTCTGTGAGTGACAAGAGTCAGGGAACACAGGGGAAACTGTATTCTGAGAAGAGAAAGAGGAAGAAAATTGGGTACCAGTAAAGAAACGACAAACCCAGAGAAAAGTACAAGGTAATTTATAACTTCAACTCTAACTATCTTACCTATGGGAGAAACACATGGTTCTTACAAGCTTTAGATCAAGTTTGGAGTGTTGTTCTGAGAGGGACTCTTCTCGCACAAAAGACAGTTTTAGAGAAAAAACTGATCACATTGCTCAGCAAGCTCTCAGAGTGCTGTGAGTGGGGGTCATCTTGAGAAGGTACCCATTGTATGGGCTAAACTGTGCTGGGATTATAAGATATAGGTTTAGTCATAATTCAACATCTCTGGGTCACCCCTCCACAGTGACTGGGTGGAAGAGTGACCACCTACATTCTCAGATAGGAAGAGTGACTGCCAGAAACACACTGAGATAGTGGCAGAGGAGGGACTAAAGTTCTCATTGATATGTGATCCTTCTTTATATGAAGAGGAGTGATTCTAGTCTCATATGGTTGCACACACGGGCCATGTCTGAGAGCTCAGAGACCACACCTAGCAATTCACCACATTTTGTGCCCCATATCTAGGGTGGAGCTTAAGTGGTTTGATTGCTTATACCACTTTTTACAGGTGTTCCAAGGATTCACCAAGACTAGGACACTTGGCATGCCCCATGGGCATGAGATCTCTAGAGCAATTGTGTGCCCACAGTTGGGTCCACAAACTCCTGAAGGAAGGGCTTATGGTGACTTTGACTTCTGCTATGCCCCCACATTTGCAAACAGAACCCCTTCAGCATGATTATGGCCTGCACCATCAACATTCCTTAACCTCCATGCAGGAATGAGGAGCTAAGTGAGCAGGCATATCAGACCATATCCTAGCTTTTTTGATGGAAATTCAAAAGAATGACAACTGGTTTCTTTTTTAGCCTATTAAACCCACATACTTGGTGGATTCAAATGTTAAATGACAGGTAAGAGTTCTCTGCCTGCCAGTATTTTGTCTGGGAAGAATTTTTGATGCACATTTTTCTTTTTTAATATTACATTTTTATATTTTCCTTACTATTACATATTTAATGCATTTTAAAATTCTTTAAATGGATTTTTCTCTTTTTTTCTCATATTTTCTTTATATAAAATAGATATCTTCTTATATTTATATCCCCTTTATTCTTCTAAAGAGAAGGTATTTTCTTCTGTAGCCTTCCTTTTCGAATTAATTTTTCCTTATTAATTTATTGTTCTTTTTGTATTTATTCTTTCCTTTATCTATTGCTTTTTAACTTGTTATTAAGTTTAAATGATTATTACTGAATTTTTATAGTACTTTTTAGTAATAGTAATTTTTATAGTACAAATACACAGGTCACCTGTACACGTGATATGAGCTTCCTCATTTGAAGGGCAAGATTGGTGTTTCCAGGGCTCAGAAGGACACTGCCAGAGAGAGGTATCAGTTTCCCGACAGCGAATTCCATCCACCCAGCGGGGTCTAGAACCTTCCCTGGAAGGAACCAAGAAATCCAGGGTCCCACTGTCCCCACAGCCAAGCTGTCTGCAGATCACGGACAAGGTCACAGCTTCCATGGGGCTGTGGCAGACACTGCCCCAGGTGTTGTTGTAGAAAACCTCCAGCCACCCAGCACACTCCTGGTCCTCGCTCACCAGCCTGAGGGCCAGGAATTCTGAAAGCAAGAGGAGGAAAACAGGGCACAGTAAGCATTCAACTCTTACTGCTGTGTTTTTTTTTTTAATATTTATTTTTTAGTTCTCAGCGGACACAACATCCTTTTTTGTATGTGGTAAATTTTATTATTCCTAAGTAGTGAATGCTCCTTGCTGACTGTCCTGAGGAAGTGCCCACTAGGTGGAAGACTGAAAATTTTTTTGTCCCTCTAACCTGTTTTGCTAACTTGTACCTCTCTTTATGTTTCTATAACAATGTCATATTAGCAAACGAATAGGCAGGAATACTGATTTGGGGGCTTTCCAGGAAGTAAACTCTTTATCTACTATCTGACCATCCATCTGACAGACCCTAGAAGAGCAGGGTGGGAGAGAGGGTGGCAGAATTGTGGAGATCCAAATATGTCCACTCCCTGATCCTCAGAGCCTGTGAATATTTTACCTCATTGCACAAGAGCTTTTCAGACAGATTTAAAGAAATCCTTTTATGGATCATTCTGGATCTTCCTGGATTAATAGGTGAGCACAATCTAATTATATCCTTTGACCTGTATGGTCAAAAGCAGATAATTCTTTCTGATCCTCATTGGAGGAAAATGTGAACATGGAATAATGGTCAGAATGTTGCAATGCTATTGTATTGAAGAGGAAAGGGGCCATGATACAAGGAATTCAGACAACTTCTAGAAGCTGAAAAAGGCTAGAATGGAGTCTTCCCAGAGCTTCCGCTGTTATAGCCTGCTGACACCTTATTTATAGCCCAGACAGACCCAGGTCAAAATTCTAACCTACACACTGTAAGACGATAAATTTGTGTTGTTTTGACCACTCAGTCTATGGTAACTTGTTACAGCAGGAATATAAAACTAATTCAGTGGGTCAGGATGTTGCTCCCACATGTCACAGAAGAATGATGACTGCTTTAAATGAACACTGTAGAGAATGACTGTGTCAGGGACAGTGCTGAGAAGGAAGGAGCAGAAGCTCAGTTGCTGCAGCAGTAAATGAAAGCACCTTATTTTCTCTGCTGGAAGAACAGGAACTGTCCTTCCCTTTCTTCTGTCCTCATCCCTGTCCTAGGGCTCAGACACCATCCTGTAGACCTTGGGGAGAGGTGCATGGAGTACCCCATACATGGCATACATTAAGGGCATCTGAGTGGCAGGCCATTCCCCTCATGCTAGGCGTGTGAGCGGCAGGCCGCTTACCCCATAGGCATAGCACTGGGTGTGGGGCCATGTGTTGCAGTCCCTGTGCTTGCTCCATGGCCCACTCCTCAATTGGTCATTGCAATGACACCAGAAATTGCATTGGTAGCTGCCTGTAATCTGTTTAGCTACTGTCTGGATATATACAAATAAAAATATATTTAATTTATATATATTTACTGCCTAAATATATATAAATTAAATATATATAAATGTGCAATATAAGCAGACCTGCTTCCTGCTTGGTCTCAGGAGGTCTTGATTAGCGACTCCGCAGCCACACTTTCCTCTACCCTGTTCCGTGGATCTCCTCACTGGACGAGAAAGAGCTCATGCACAGACCCTCTCTTGCCCTCCCAGCCTATGCACAGTGTGTGGAGCAGACCTGAGCAGATGACCCCAGCATCATCCTTGTGACTGCAGTTGTGCTGCCCCCAGCCCTGGGAAGGGCACTGCCACACATGAGTCTCCTCTCCTGTGCAGTTCACTTCATCCAGCCAGATGGGCCCTGATCCCTCTCCAAAGTGAGCAGAGATGGTGGCCTCCAGGGCCACTCCACAGCCCAGCTGTCTGCACACCACGTGGGCATCACTCAGGTCCCAGCTGTCATCACAGATGGAGCCCCAGGAACCCTGCTGCAGGATCTCCACTCTCCCTGCACAGTGACTGCCCCCGTCCACCAGGCGGAGTTGTCTGCTGTCTGAGGAGAGACAGGGTCATGTCAGTGGGTATTTGCACAGGGAATGGGAAGGTTCTGGTGTTGGGGGCCTTGCTCACCTGAGCAGTTGGCAGTGTGGCCCTCTGAGGCTGTGGAGCTTGCTGGGTCAGACCAGGAGTCATTGCACTGGAGCAGCAGCTGGGTTTGGTTTCCTACCAAAAGGTTTAGAGAAAAGAAAACTGAATTAAACTAGACAATAACCTAGTGATGATATCTCAAAACTAAAGCCCACTATCAGTTATTTTCTATCTCCAGAGCTCATCTTCTATTTAAGATTTCTGCTGTGGCTTTTGACACACTCTTTTTTTTTTTTTTTTTTTAAATCAAGTACCAGGAATGACTATAGAAAGTGTGAATATATTAGTGCTGCTTAAGAGCATTGCATATCTCCCAGGGAAGAAAGACTTTTTGGAATCTAGTTCAGGGAAAAGTAAAAACTAACATCAGTTATTTTGTCCTGGAGGTATTTGACCATTCAAAGGTAGTAGTTGAGACTCTGAAAAATCTCAGCATATTTGCCACATTTTCCTGTGAGTATACTAGTAAAAATTTGGGTAGACCAAAGAGGAGAATCCTTTTAAACATTCAGAAAACTTGTATCATATTTTGTGAACTAAAAGATTTTTTTGTCATAGGAATGAGTGCCCAATAACTCACCATTTCACTTTTCTTTGTATAATGTGATCTACCCTAAATAAAGTGAATTGAAAAAGCAAAATAAAATCATTTCTGAATGTTTTGTAGGAAGAAATATTTTTCAAATACAATGTTTGTCAAGAAAAAAAAAACAAAAACAACCACAATTATAAAAGCGTTTAGGAAGAAAATGAAGTGAACAAAGGAGAAAAAAAGGAAAGATTTTCGGAGGGTGGTCCTGGTGAATTACCTTATAGGTAATTAAAATAATCACAATTACATTTTGTAAATTAAATGACATGATGGGAAGGCTGAGGTATAGCTCAGTTTGTAGAGCGCTTGCCTTGCATGCACAAGGCTCTGGGTTCAATCCCCAGCACCACATACACACACACACACACACACACACACACACAAAAAGAATCAATAAATGACATGATGAGAATTTTGGTAGAGAAATGATCACAGAAATCCAACAAATATTTGAGAGTTAATATTATTAAAAAGAACCAATAAAAAGTCAGTAGCTAAAAATGAGAAACCAGAGGATAAGTGTAACAATAATGTAGATCAGTACAAAATATAAATAGTAAGTGGGCAGTGTCGCTGCCTGCGCCTGCAAAGTAGACAGAACTGTGACCACTGACAGAACAAGCCTAGTGGCCCGCAGAGGGACAGAGCCGCCGCCCGCGCCTGCGAGGGAGACTTTGCAACTATACAAGACCAATATAAATATATAGGGGGAAAATTCAATAGCACAACAGTTTCACCAAGTAGAAAGGAACGCGAACAGTATGAAGAGACAAGGAAAGAAAGGACCACAAGCATTGCAGGTCAACTCAACGTTAGAAGAGGTAATAGCTGCAGCAGATGGAATGTCAGATAAAGAATTCAGGATATACATGCTTCAGATGATCTGGAGTCTCAAGGAAGACATCAGACAGCAAAATCAGACAATGAAAGATCACTTCAACAATGAATTACATAAACAAATCCAAGAAGCAAAAGATCAACTATACAGGGAAATAGAGGTTATAAAAAACAAACAAACAGAAATCCTAGAAATGCAGGAAGCAATAAGCCAACTTAAAAACTCAATTGAGAATACTACCAGCAGAGTAGAACACTTAGAAGACAGAACATCAGACAATGAAGATAAAGTATTTCAGCTTGAAAAGAACATAGACAGCTCAGCAAGACTGTTAAGAAACCATGAGCAGAACATCCAAGAAATATGGGATAACATCAAGAGACCAAATTTAAGAGTCATTGGGATACAGGAAGGGACAGAGTTTCAAACCAAAGGAATGAGCAATCTATTCAATGAAATAATAAGAGAAAACTTCCCAGACTTGAAGAATGAGACAGAACCCCAAATCCTAGAAGCCTACAGGACGCCGAATGTGCAAAATCATAAGAGACCCACACCTAGACACATTATAATGAAGATGCCCAACATACAGAATAAGGAGAGAATTTTAAAAGCTACAAGAGAAAGGAAGCAGATCACATTTAGGGGTAAGCCAATCAGGATAACAGCTGATCTTTCAACACAGACTCTGAAAGCTAGAAGATCCTGGAATAACATATTTCAAACACTGAAAGAAAATGGGTTCCAACCAAGAATTGTGTTTCCAGCGAAATTAAGCTTCAGGATGGAAGTTGAAATTAAAACCTTCCACGATAAACAAAAGTTAAAAGAATTTGCAGCTAGAAAACCATCTCTTCAAAACATCCTTGGCAAAACATTACAGGAAGAGGAAATGGAAAATAACAATGAAAACCAACAGTGGGAGGTAGGACAGTAAAGGGGGGGAAAATAATCAAAGAGGAAAACAAACCATGTTTAGTAACATAAATAAACAAATATGGCTGGAAGAACAACCCATATCTCCATAATAACCCTAAATGTTAATGGCTTAAACTCACCAATCAAGAGACACAGGCTAGTAGAATGGATCACAAAACAAGACCCAACAATATGCTGCCTACAGGAGACGCATTTGATAGGAAAAGACATACATAGGCTGAAGGTGAAAGGTTGGGAAAAATCATATCACTCATATGGACTTCGGAAACAAGCAGGAGTATCCATACTCATATCAAATAAAATAGATTTCAAGCCAAAGTTAATCAAAAGGGATAAAGAGGGACACTACATACTGCTCAAGGGAACCATACACCAACAAGACATAACAATCATAAATATATATATGCCCCAAACAATGGTGCAGCTATGTTCATCAAACAAACTCTTCTCAAGTTCAAGAGTCTAATAGACCACCATACAATAATCATGGGAGACTTCAACACACCTCTATCACCACTGGACAGATCTTCCAAACAAAAGTTGAATAAGGAAACTATAGAACTCAATGACACAATTAATAACCTAGACTTAACTGACATATATAGAATAT